GTTTCTAAATCTTTCAAAGCTGTGGACAAGTTTTTTTTTTTTGTCTTTTTTTCTTGGATATGCCACTGTCTGTCATTAGGCGACTGGTTAGGTTAACAAGAATTCAGTTAAACAATGCTAGAAAATATGTTACACAAAAAAGAGTGAGAGAGAAAAACTGTTTATATTTGTCAGTGGAAATTTATGAACATATTTCTGGTGGAATTTGTAAAATCCAACTCTCTGTGTTCATGTGTCTTTTTTTTTTTTTAAAGCAGATTTAGGACCACACAAACCCCTATCATGGGTGTGGAGCACAGTAGTCTTCTTCAATTAGACTGAGTTTCCCCAAAGGTGACTCAGGTGCTGTGTCCTTCAGCTATAGGGCCGTGTGTAATGAGTTAATTTTAGATCGATATAAACCACTTTTGTTGGGAGTTAAACTTTGCTGAGCTGGTGCAGACTGCATTCCGAGCCATTTATGAACATTTGCAGCATGAGACAGACGGCCTCTGTTGTTTGTAGTCTTGCACTATGCTTTTTCTTTTGTGTCTGCTTCTTGAATCAGGGAATCACCTAAAGCTGAGTAAGCTGAAGTTTATTTGCTTGGTATTTCAAACTGTCACTTTTCACCAGAAATTTATAACAACCAGGATCTTGCTCATTTAAATCTTAGTTCGTCCACTTGAGGCAATAAGATCACTTTTATCTAATTCTGGTTGTCAAGTAAGTGTCATTATGGTGGGAGTCACAAATACATTTTCGTTTTACATGTGGACTTGACATCAGTTCTGGTAGATCCTGCAGAGGACGGGTCACTTTGTAAGATGTCACATCTCCCCCATGTTGTTTTGAGTAATCATATACAGTCAGGGAAAAAATTATTTGAACCCCAGCTGATTTTGTAAGTTTGCCCACTAACAAAGAAATGATCAGTCTACAATTTCAATGGTAGGTTTACAGTCTTATGCAAAAGTTTAGGCACCCCTTGATAAATAACAGATTTTGGTGATTTTTTATTTGAACAGATGTTAACACAGTTTCTCTTGGAAATGGAAAAAATGCACAATATTTTCAGCAAACAGTGATGCATAGTTACTTCTTATGCCATAAATTGAACAAAAATAAAAAATAAAAACATTATTATGGCATGGTGCAAAAGTTTGGGCACCCTAAGAGTTCCAGAGTCTCAAAGTCTCTCACAAGGTATCAGACCTTAATCAGCTCGTTAGATCTGATGCACAGCAACAGCTGTCATTGGTAAATGCCAATTTCAAAGCTGTACAAATACTTTGACTCTTCAAACCTTGTGCACACACTTGTGGACACCCAGCAACCATGGGTTCCTCTAAGCAGCTGTGTAAGACCCTGAAAATGAAAGTTATTGATGCCCACAATGCAGGAGAAGGCTACAAGAAGATAGCAAAGCGTTGTCAGCTTGCAGTTTCCACAGTAAGAAATGTAATTAAGAGATGGCAGATCAGGGGAACTGTGGAGGTCAAGATGAGATCTGGAAGACCAAGAAAACTCTCGGACAGAACTGCTCGTATGCTGGTCAGAAAGACAAATCAAAACCCCCATTTGACTGCAAAAAACCTGCAGGAAGATTTAGCAGACTCAGGAGTGGTGGTGCACCGTTCCACTGTGCAGCGATGCTTGCACAGACAAGGCCTTCATGGAAGAGTCAGCAGAAGAAAACCTTATCTGCGTCCCCATCATAAAATCCAACGTCTGAAGTATGCAACAGGACATCTACAGAAGCCCGATGCGTTTTGGAAACAAGTGCTGTGGACTGATGAAGTTAAAATAGAACTCTTTGGACACAATCAGCAAAGGCATGTTTGGAGAAAAAAAGGAGCAGCATTTCATGAAAAGAACACCTTGCCAACTATTAAGCATGGGGGTGGATCTATCATGCTCTGGGGTTGTGTTGCAGCCAGTGGCACAGGAAACATTGCACGGGTGGAGGGAAGAATGGATTCCACTAAATACCAGCAAATTCTGGAAGCAAACATCACACCATCTGTAAAAAAGCTGAAGCTGAAAAGAGGATGGCTTCTACAACAGGACAATGATCCTAAACATACCTCGAAATCCACTATGGAATACCTCAAGAGACGCAGGCTGAAGGTTTTGGAATGGCCATCACAGTCCCCTGATTTAAACATCATTGAAAATTTGTGGGTAGATCTTAAAAGAGCTGTGCATGCAAGACGACCAAAGAATATTACAGAACTAGAGGGATCAAATACTTATTTCATTCATGAAAATGCAAATTACTTTATAACTTTTTTTGTAATGCATTTTTCTGGATTTTTTTGTTATTGTTGTGTCTCTCACTGTTCACATAAACCTACCATTGAAATTGTAGACTGATCATTTCTTTGTTAGTGGGCAAACTAACAAAATCAGCTGGGGTTCAAATAATTTTTTCCCTGACTGTAAGTGATGTTCCAGGAATTTCAGAACACCGGTCAGTCTTCCTGCTTATCTGGTTGTGTCAGCAGAGCCTAGCAGGCTGGCTTTAAGCTCTGTCTGCTGTTTATTTACCCAGAGAGAACAGTCTAACCACTACGCCCCGTGCTGCTGAACTTGTCAACCATGGCCTTCACAGTTGACCCTCAAACTCTGCTTTCCTGTTGAGGTGTTCAGGACACTGCACATCATGTTGAATTCTGTGCTGATTTTCCTTAGTGTGGAAATCTTGGCACCCAAAAAAGAGAGAAGAACAGCCTCTGATCACTTTCACATCATGTTCATCATAAGGGATTGATTTATTGTGATTCAAATACAAACACTATGACAAACATGACAAACACAAAGCTGAATAACAAGGAATGCAGCATGGAGAGATCTGTTTCCCAGTCTGGAAAGGTCTCTTTGGTGGTTGAAGTAATAAAAGGCTGTGGTATGCAGTATGTGGGGTGGTGCTGACCATTTGGCCTCCTTTTTGAATGCCTCATTATTTACTAGAGCTTCCCACCCATTAGGTGTTGTAGATGTAAACAATAGCTGGGCCTTACTGTGGGACCTCTGTCTATGTGAGAAGTCAGACACTGTTTTGAGTCCAAGCCCTGCAAAACATACAGACACATTTATTCTAAAGTTTTTGTGACACTTCCACTCAGTTTTTCCCCTCTCAGCCCAGGTGGGTACATGTTGAATCCACTAGTCAGGGCTGCTTACTTGGTATGAGGGAGTGGACCAGATGGCTTCCCAGCATATAGTACTGGGACACATGGGAAGACATTATGTGGAACACACCTATGTCCTCTCCTTGCTCTTTCTGTGTTTACTTGGCTACTTAATCGACCCATGGGGAGTCTGGAGCTGCTGCTGGTAGCACATAAATGAGAGATTGACACTTTATACTTGATGAATAGGTACAGTAAAGTTACTCTAGGCTTTGTAGTGAAAACAGAGGACAGCTGTTGTTCCCACTGAGCTGCAGCCAACAGGGTGACATTGTAACCCTGGCAGACCTGACTGACATCGCACCCCTCTGTGTCTATTTCTGAGACTGGGGGTGCACACAGACTTGATTTGGCAGGCACATGAGAAGCAAATGTGGGTATTTGGTGGGCATTGTAGGCACTCTTATCTGCGCCAAGCTTTTGTGTTTCTTCTGATTATCACAGGTAGCCTGGAAAACAGGCTTGTAACTCAAACAACTATGATGGGAATAAGTGGGAAAAGTTCCAAGCATAGCAGATTCTTGTGACTCAAATTCCTTCCCATTACCACTTATCTCTCAAAGAAACAACTAGCCTAGATTTGGGTGAGGTCATAAGGAAGAGAAAGGACCTGGTCTTGCCAGGACCCTCACATGATGGTCATCACAAGAGAAATGAAGTGAGTGATGTGATTAACTGTTGGGATGGCCTCTGAAAGTCGACTGGTCGAATAGTTAGTCAAGAGACCTGTCAGTTGACTGAGAGTCCTCTAGTTGAAACCTTTTTATTTTATTATATTTTATTTTTTGTCAGCTAGCGTGCCTTACAATAGAAGGCAGCCTCTGCCCCCTTTAGTCATCATCTTCTCCTCATTTTGGTGTGCCACGCAGCAATTTGCTCAGTGTCTCAGACAGAATTCTTGGGTATACCCCTAATTAACTGGATATTCGGAATCCTTAGACATCTACTGTGATGCTGAGCCTGGGGAAAGGATTCTTTCTGGCTCTTTGCAGTGTTCCCACGTGGATTTGTTGGCATGGTTAAGACACACATTAGGGAACTATATCATAGATGACATAATGGAGTTCACTGAAGGGTAGAATGACCTGGATGTACCAGCAAATTGCAGCACTTGCTGATTTGTCAAATGTATATATTTATTGATGCTGAGTTCATGTATCTATAGCACATGCCCATAATATGAGGTCATATCATTCAGTTGCAATCTGCTTTCTTTAACAGATAGCACCCTATAATTTTTCTGAAATTCAGTTCATGGTCTAAATGCGTGTAATTGGTTATCCCTCTTATGTGTGCCCATTTGACTGTGTACTTTTGTAAAAGCTGCTGTTTCTTTCTGCCTCAAACTCTCTTTTGCACCTCTGCTTTTTGTTGTCTGTGTGTATTGTGATGAGCTGGCTGTTGTCACTCTGTGATTATAGTTAAGCCTGGTGGTTTTTGTGTTAGTAGCACTCGATGCCTATGGTTCTTTTGGGTCCCTGCTGACTCCATGCCTGGTGTCCTACTGTGGATATCCACCTGTCTCCTTGTTCAAGAAACACACGTACACACCATCACTCATACCGCTCCATTGCCTGCCCAACAAATGACATCACTTTTGTCACACACACATGCAGATAGATAGCTGTAGGGGACACAGACGATGACACACTCTCCATATGGACAAGTGGGCAGTTAGGAGCCTCTCAGTCTGTCAAACAGTGTGAGTTGTTTACTGCTTGTCGAGCTGATTATTACTCGGGTGTGACCATGGCCTCTAATGCATCATCATTGCCATTTTTAGCTGTAAATAACACTTTACCCTTTATCTTGTTTCTTCTCATTCAGCTCTGATTGGGTGGAGATCCTGGAGCCACGCTCCCATGAACGTATGTATGTGAACTTGACCACTGGTGAGTGCGGCTGGGATCCCCCTCCAGGTGTTCCTGTCCGCCAGGCTGACGGTAACCAGTGGTGGGAGCTGTTCGACCCCCACAGTAGTCGCTTCTACTATTACAACTCTACTGAGCGCCGCACAGTCTGGCATCGACCCCAGGGAGCCGATATTGTGCCCCTTTCTCAACTCCAGGCCATGAAACGATGCAGCGAGGCCAAGCGGGCTGGAGGGGCCACAGACGGGCATCACCATGGGACCGCGGGGAGTATCAGCAGTGTAGGGAGTCAGGGGCGCTGTACCCCTCTTGAGCAAGACAGTGACAGCCCTGTCCCCAGAGCACTGGAGACCGGTAGAGAGGCTGCCAACCCCGAGCTGGACCCACCCCTGGACAACAGATTGCAGGGAGAGGGAAGCAGCAGCGAGCACAGCACAGATGGCAGCAAGGAGTTTCAGAGGTAAGCCTGACCAACCCTCCAGTAGCCCCTACAGTAAGTCTGGGAATGGAATTGTGCTGACTCATTAGTGGATCATTTACCAGGAGAAGAGTGGGGAAATGTGATAGTCATTGCAGCATGTGGCATAGTGAGTCGTAATGACTTTCAAATGCTTCTGCCATGAGAACTCGCCGAATTATTCTGATTTTTGACCACTCGGGCAGATTCAAACCACATTTTATTTTCATTCTCACTTATCTGCACATTTAATATGTCCCATGTTTCCATACTATTGCAAGTGAACCATGCTCAGCCATTTCAGCAAATCGGTACCAAATGGGGAGAACGGTCAGTTATATTACAGAGCACAATATCCCCCCCCCCATGCTATGGTTATGGCTGCAGACCGGCCCCTAACAGTAAGTCGTTCAGAGGCCCCATCATGTGCTTGACGTTGTAGCTTTGTCCAAATCACCATCTCTTCTCTCTAAGTCAGATTCCAGACATGCCACTTCTGTTTCCCCTGGCACAGGGCCACTGAGGCCATCTTAGTGTCCTTCTGTGTGCTCGCGACCACCCTGCTCCGCTCTCTTCTCCAGTGCTCACTTCATTTTTCCTAAAACAAGTCTCGGCTCCAGGTCCTCAAAGACTGTAACACCTCTTATGGGTGAGGGTTTAAACGTGCATGCATGTGAAGCATGTGAGTAGCCCCTGTCGTCTGTGGTTAATAACAGGCAGAACCACTACATTCCAGCTGCCTATAAACAGGGCAAAGTCTGCTGGGGGTTTTTTCAGAGACTCTGCCATGGCAACTCTGGTTCTCTGGTTCCTCCTGATTCTTCTTGTACCGCACCTTGGCCATTAGGAGGTCTGTCCTCTGACCCTCCAGGCCTTTTGGATTACATGAAGGTGGAGGTAGAACTAATTGTTTAGCCATGGCTCTTGAATGGCACTACTGGACCCCATGTTGCATTGCCTGTGGTGTTAAAACTCCCCACAGGGTCCCACTCTGCCCCAGTGATTCAACATTTCCCAGAACCTTTTCTGTCTCCCCTTAAAACAGTGGCCAGCTGTGTTCCTTAGAGGAATGCTGAGGAGCCTGTAACCCACTGGGGCTTGATACCTGACTTAGCCATACGGTGCTTCACATGCTCACTAGCCTACCTCCCTATGTAGATAATTCGAAACATCACAAAATGCACAGAGAGGGTTGAATATGGCGGTTCAAAATAGTTGAAAACAAGCTCAGAGAAATGCTTGTCTTCCGTTTGTGGCCCATTTGACAAAAATCAATGGGTAAGAACAAGAGAGAAGACTTGAATGAAAAAGAGTTGGAAAGGTTGCAGTGGTTTGAGATTTGCTAATTGTTCTGTCCCACCAAGAACAACAAAATTTTATAGTCCTCTTTCTTTTGTGATGATACTCTTACCGGTCATAACCTTTTTAGTTCCATAGAACAGTGGGGAATTTCATTGTTTCAGTTCCAAAGTATTTGGTTTGAACGCCTCAGCTATTTTAGACATGTTCTTCCTTCTCTATGAAATTTCAGTGGAGATGGGAAAAAAGTTATTAACTTATGACCTTTAAAAAACAATGCTGTTCTTTGTGGAGATGGGACCATCTCTGTTCATCCAACCCCAGTTGTTTCCTTTTGTTTTGAGCTGTTACTATATCTGCTCATTATAGATAGAAACGTTTCCACACAACACACCCTGTGTGTTATTCTAAGCACTGGCTGGTTGACACACCTTCTTTTCTCTGTCTCTCTCTCTCTCTCTCTCTCTCTCTCTCTCTCTCTCTCTCTCTTGACACACCCTCTTTTCTCTCTCTCTCTCTCTCTCTCTCTCTCTCTCTCTCTCTCTCTCTCTCTCTCTCTCTCTCTCTCTGTGTTCATGCTTATAGGACATGTAGGCATATGAGCATGCTCGTATGTCGACTTGAGTGCTAGATCTGTTACTCATTGGCCAAGTCTTATCACATGTCCTGGGAGGTTCTGGGTACTTTGAGCCTGTGTAGCTCATCAGGGAAGTACCGTAGTCTCCGTGGGTAAACATGTTAATCACATGAGGTTGTGTGCAGGAAACTAATGATGTAGGAACTGAGGATGTCACAGGTCAGCAGCATTGAATTTCATTCACCTTTCAATGCACGTGTGTGTCTTTATCAACAACCAGGTAACATCTGTATGGGATTTCCCCATAAATAACGTGTGTGATCTGCGTGTTTACCTGACCTCACTGTGTGTGGGCTCTTTTCCACAGAGATCTCAAGTTACAGGAGACCTGCTGATGTAGAGTGGATGTTAAAAGTTTGCTGAGGATACATGACGTAACATGGTATAAGACAACCCAGCAGTGACTCAAAGTTGTTCACATTAGGGCCACAGCATTGCTTTATCTTATGGCGTGGCCTTTGACGTGTAATGGACCGCTAAAAGCAACAAAGGTCCTCACTTAAAGCCAGCTCTCTCCCAGGGGCAACTGAGAGCTTTATCTAAGCAGGAAGTCTAGGGATGCTGAATGGAGAACACCAAATGATTTGTACATGCCCTATCAATTAGCCCTGTAATGATACACGCACCAGCATTCAGTCTAAGGCAGTCACTGTGACATAAGCATTTAAAACCTGCCTCTCCTAATTATTGACTGACTCCCCTTTAAAAAAGATTCAGTGAGCTTACACTGATTTTGATATATCGGTACCTAAGTGAACTCAGCTTTGTCTTGGTTGTTGCATTGTTTATTTGTACATGCCAGAGCTTTCACACGCTGAGTGTGCTTCAAGTTGAGTTAAGAGGATGTTGGGTTTCACTTTAGTCAGCTGTATTTTAGGGTAACAAGTGTCTGCTGACACCACCAACTAAAAAGCAAAACTGGAAACATTTTATTTTAATTCCTTTTTCTTGTTTCTATTTGGAGGGTCTTTTTGAGGGGATTTTTAAGTTAACCATGCACATGAAAGCAAAAGTGTTAAAAAGCTAAAATGAACTTCCCCTCATATGCTTATGACTGTCGGGCTACAAGTCCATGTAGGAGAAATCACCAGTGGATTTGCATAGGAAATGAGGGCATGTATTATGGGGTGGATAAAGCTTTTCATTTTTTAATGAGTCACACATTGTGAGCCTGTTTACTGCAAGAGCACAGGCCCCTCGAGCTTTTCATCTCCAGCCACTTTGAGGACGTAGCCACAGTATTGTTATGCACACTGGAAAGACTTGTTTTATCTCTACACTCTTGGTGTGGTAACCTTTTTTCAGCTCCTTGCAGATGGTGTTTTAAGACTGCCTAAAATAAAAAGCAGTTTTTTTTTCCCCATTGCAAAAAAAGTTTCACTTTGAACGTATGCCTGTTTACTGCATGTGCCTACTGTAAGTGCTTTAGCCTGGTTAGCAGTGACAGTGTTGTTTTTAAGCCTAGTTTTTATCTCAGTGCTGTTTGTCTGCACGTTTCATGTTTCACTCCGTCTTTTGTTTTAACTTCTCTTCGATGCCATGATGCAGTGGAATATCTCCAGTGTTTTCATTAGGACCCAGTGACACCACATGCGACCTGGCCTCAGGCACACTGCTCTGACTGCCTCAGCCAGTTGGCAGCATGAGAAAATGGCATTTTTCACACCTCCATCCTTTTCTGATGTTTACTGCCACTATTGATGTTTCTCTGCTCCTGTGTGTTCCTGATCACATCTCTGAGACTTGAGACTGAATGGGACAGGTTTTGTGTGTGAGAAAAGGATCCAGTTTAATCATGGAAAAAAACCACTGTAATGGGACCTGGCCTCATAAAAAGAGTTGCATGTACACTTTCAGATTGTAGAGGTGGGTCTCTCTGGAATGCAGTTGGGTTTGGTCTCCTCCTGTCTCCCCCAGCTGACCCTAGTTGCTATCTTCTGGTCCAGCCCAGCGCTCCTCACAGGGTCGGGCTACAGGAGCGACAGACATGCACAGCTGGTAGACAGCTTGGCACAGAGGAGGGAGGTGTGTCAGTTCAGCTGTTGCAGGACAGCTGAAAGTGTCTTACAGGAACTAGGAGGCTACAAGTGTCACCTCAAGCCACAGATGTTATTTTATGCTTCTGCTTCATGTTTTTGACAGATTGTTCAGAAGTGAGAGGAAAAATCAGCTTTGAACAATGATGAAGTAGATAGAACATTGTTCTCAGCAAATCCTCTTTGTCTTTTCTGTTTCCTTCCTCTACGCAAATGGCAGTGCTCCCATTGGGCTGTGCTCTGAGGTGTTTGTGTAGCAGTAGCTTGGCCTGTGTGACCTCATTTCCTCTTCCTGTCCAGCCACCGATGATAATAATAACCCCTGTTTTTCAGACCCCAGTATTTCCAGGGGGCATATTTAAGAACTTCCAAATCCATATCCCTAGCCACCAGAGTGACTCAGCTGATGGCTTTTCCAACAACAGTTATTCCAGGCAGGAAAATAAAAAGGAGAGACAGAACATCTGCCGACAGCTGAGTCCCCATAGTATATTTAGTTGGCACTTCAGACAACATGACCACAGTAATATTCAGACCAGTCACAGCAGTGGGTGCGAGACACCACATATGCTGTTACTAGTTGAACTATGCTGACCATTAAACTGATATGCTGCCCCAGCAGCCAATGAAATTGCCCTTGTTGGTTTCCAAATGGCCTCTAACTTCATTTTATCTTACGTTTGTCTGTCTTCCTAAAGATCTCACATGCTAGGTTAAGGCTCCGACAGGGTTTATAAATGCAGTGCATACATGGGTGTGTGCACATGCACTATGGGTGTCTAATCATGTCTGTTGAAATGGAGATTATCTCTTTGCAAACAATGACAGCTTTAGAAAAATCTGTATTTTATGCTCTCAGTGAAAATGATCTCTTTGAACTTGTGTGATAAATTGCTGTGCATAATTTCCACCTTTGGCTAACAGTCGACCAGCACCTGACGGACAGTACACCCTTTATGAACAGCTTTCATTATAATTAGAGCACAAGGCGGGCCTGTTCAGTGTTACATAAGAGCCTGTCTGTTTCCCTGACTCACCCTGGAGGTTGAAGATGGCTCTTTCAGGTTCAGCCTCTTCCTTGTCCCCCTTCTCTGCCCCCTCTTTGCACTTTGTGACAATGGCAGAGACTTGCATTGTTTGAGGCTCCACACACCGCTGCTGAGGCCCCTGATTGAGCCCCGAGGAATGCCAACCTTCCCGCTCAGTCCCCTGCTGCACTCTCCCACGACCAATCCCTGCCCCTTCTTATTTACACCTATTTACTCTAGTCTCTCTAGCTCTGTTCTCCTTCTCCACCACCCTGCCCCCCTTACCACTGTACTGTCCTAGTCTCTTTTTGGTTTAGAGTTTATAATCGTACGTTATTTGGTTGACCTGGGATTCACTGATATGCGAGTGTTGTTCTAGATGTCTAATGGGATTAGAGGCTTTGGACAGAGATTGAAGATACAGTGCAACCATACTGTTAGAGTTGGCTACCAGCCCTCATGTGAACACGATGATCATCCCACCAAACTCCCTGCTGACATCCAGTAATGGAGGGGTGGAACATGTTAGTCCTTTGCTGAGCCTGGCTGGGACAATGGCAGGCAAACAACAGAGACAAAGCCTGATAAAATCCCTCTCTCCTAGCACTGTGAAAAGGACCTAGCAGGGTACGCCTCACAGTTGGTTTCGGTCCCTGGGGAATCTGCTGTTTAATGTTGCTACAGAATTCATTGTAACATGTAATTTAACGTTTGTACGAGGGAATAAAATAGGGCAGTGTTGTGATTTTTGGCCATGAAGATGAAGTATCTCAGGGACTGTTTTGTCTCAGGATCTAGAATTTCCCACATATAACATCAAATATATTGTAAATCTGTATATAAGCTTCCTATAATTAAGATTTAACCCACATCTCTGCCCTGGATGCTGTGTGTGAGCATTACATTAGGCATTTCCTGTTTGTACTACATATGAGGAAGCCCTCTCTCCAACTGTCCACAGGACCTCCACAGACAGGAAGAGGTGGTCACTACTATCTCAGGGTCAGTCCTCATAAAATGCATCACCCACCCACCAAGAACAGAGGAGACAGTATTCATGGTTTTTATATGTGTGAATAACCAAGTTTGATTTGTTTGTGGATAATAGAAGAAGAATTTGATTGTTGTGGTTGTATGTATGAGGTCTGGTTTGTTATTTTTACATCCAGTTATAAAAAAAAAAGCCTTGAAGTGTGTGTGTGTGTGTGTGCGAGCTGTTCCTGTCATAGCAACTCAGTGCTAAACGGTCAGCTGTGTGTCATCTGCTGAGGTGGGAATGGTTTTGTAGCATTTGTATCACCTGCTACCTGCTTGACAAGAGCAGAGTGAGAAAACGTACACAGTTTCAAAGGGTATAAACAGTGGCTTCTCACATTCACAGCTGTCACCTATCAGCCCCCCTCTCCACCCTCTATAACCATAGACACTCACACTTGCTTGTAACAACTAAACAGTGGTGGTTTGGGTCGAGTCTCATTCATCAGAGCTCCATGTCTTCACATGTGTCTGTGTGCAAAGGTTATGTGTTATTTAGGCAGTAAACTGTAGATTGGTGTCTCTGAGGCAGGGGGTTTGGGTGGGGGTGTTGCTTGAAGCGTTCCCAGCAACAGTGGTTGTGGCAGGCTGTCCTGGTGCTGTGCCAGGTGGCTGAGAACCAGCTGTTTATGGGCCTGGCCTGGATGTTGAATCTGTAGGACCTTTTGAAGATGAGAGCCTATTTACATTCAAACCTCTGAGGTGATGTGACTCACTCTATAGACTGGGGGTGGCACATGGCCCTGAGAGAGAGGACTAAAGGAAGTTTGCCGTTGGCTTGAGGACCTCAGGGAAATTGTTTCAGCATTGTTCCAGGGAGACGCAGGGAGGAGAGGGGGGCCACTCCGCCTCTTTTTCTCCTCCCTCTGCGTTCCTCTTCCTGCCGTAACAGCCCAGCTCTGAGTCGTAGTGCTCTTAGAAAAGGGAAGCCTTTGAACACTAGCCTTGGCTCTACACTGATATGTGTTTATGTTGGATTTACAAGGACAGAAGGTGATCAGCTTTGATCTAATTAATAATCCCACTGCACGTTAAGTAGAGGTTGGAAGAAGGGACGGTAAGTGTCCTTTGCTTGCCTTACTTACCTTTTGGACCTTTGAATAAGCAAGAAGGTAAATTCAGCTTGTACATTCTATACACTGTGTCACGTGTCTTACTCCGACCAGCTGCCAACTGCTGCCATGGTTGCTGTGCAGTAACACCCGCTTTAAGCACACTCGCTAGTTTAAGAGGGCAAGTTTTTGATCAGTTGAGGAATGGAAAATCCTGATTGTAGGGGAAGATTAAGGCAGGCGACGGCAGAGTGGAGGGCAACGGACCATAGCAGCATGACCAGATTGATGGCAGATTGTTTTACGTCGCTGGGATTAGAAGTGGGCCACTGGGTTTGAAGTTAGCTCAGCCGCTCAACCAAAAGGAGAAGAATTAACCTTTGGACCCGAATGAAGATCTTCTCAGCTGGGAACTACTGCTGTCCTGACCTCTCTCAGATCAGTCTCTTTTCATGTGGCCTGCTGGTTTACTGAATGTTTATTCACTGATTTCATATCGAAGACTTTTATGCCATGTGACCCAACAATAAAACGCGACCTGAGGAGGAACTGTGGCTGGGTTTCAGTATTTCAGGCACGTGCTTTGCACAGCACGCACTAGAGTTATTGTCTCATGGCTTTGACAAGGGCATTATGACTACCAGACTAAAAATGGAATAAAATCTTTGAAGGCCATCAGAATGTTTGGAGAAGAATTTGTGGATCGCTGCTGATTTTCCCAGCCCTGCCAGCCTCGGATTTTATAACCAATGTCTTTATGCCCGTGCATGATTGAATATGATGATAATGCATTTATGGTACTGTGTTGACCTTTGTATGTATATTCAGGTTTCATATTTACTTTGTTGCTTTGACCAATCTAAAAGCAATTGTGTTTTCAGGGATGCTTCTCAGAGATGGCAGCCTGTACCTGGTTCTAAGGCAGCCATGAAATAAAACAGTGTGAGCCGTAGCCGGCCCAGCCCAGCCTTGCAGCAGCAGCAGCAGCAGCAGCAGCAGCAGCATCTACAGCACAGTGCACACAGCAAAGCCAGCACCTTCAGCCTGCACCCCTCCAGCAACAATGCCCAAGGAGGACACTTAAGCTCCACCCAGGGATATAAAACTAACTCCTCTGGCAAAATGGCAGCTGACACACATCAGGCCCATCACCTGAGAAAAGCCACTAATTGCAGCTTTTGTTTAGTGACATCAGGTAGTAGCCATCCCAGTCCACTCCTTCACAGGTCACAGACCAGCACACCACGCCCTGTCTCTCCCCAGTATGGTTGCACTGTCCCAATCTATGATGAGCCAGTTTCAGACTATCCCATATATGATGAACCCCCAATAGACATGGAGGTAGAGGGGGCACACCTGTATAATGGGCAGCCACTGTCTCGCCTGACACCTACCCACAGCCTCCAGAAGCCCAGACTCCACCCTAGTTCATCTCAGCCAGGCTCCAGGCACAGGAGGAACCCTTCTGTCTCTGACTACAGCCCAGCTGGTCTGGAGTGTATCAAGCACATGGTCAACGTAGACCCCACACAAGGCTCACCTGTACCCACATGTACCACTTCCCCTACCTCTAAGCAGGATCCTGTCTTGAGCCAACCTCAGCCACATCCCCAGCCCCAGGCCCACTCCCAGGCTCGAGGCCAGGTGAGGAACAGAGAGCAAGCGACCTCAGGCCCAAGTACACTGGACAAGAAACAAAGTTGGCGGGCCCTGGAGGCCACTGTGCAGCGTGCCATGGAGGCACGGCACAGCAGACAGAGCAGCCAGGCCTCACAGGACTTCCCTACCTCGACCCCGCAGGCCACAGCAAACTATCAAGACTCTGGTTACTCCACTGGCCCCTCCCCAAGTCTGAGAAGAAAGAGCAGGAGGAGGGTAGGAGCCGGTGGTGGTGCAGGAGGCAGGCCGGGATCTGTAGGCAGCACCGGGGAGCTGTGTGCCCTCAACGAGAAGCTAATGGCCGAGATGAGGGAGGTGGTGAGTCGCTCCAACACCATGAAGGAGGTGAGAGCGGGACTGGACACAGAGAGGGTTGTCATACCGAGGACGCGCTCCCCTGCAGACGCACAGAGGAGTAGGAGGGGTTTCAGCAGGCAGGTCGGCATCACGGGAGGATCTCACTGGGGTTCCCCGGCCATTGAATAGAGCAGGTAACCATGGCAACCCTGCTCTGACCCCTTTGGAGATACCAGGGAGGCAAAAAAGGACGTATGAAAAGGTTGACACCTTGGAGATGAGTGTGAACAGCCAAGCCAGCCTGTCCTCACCTGAGACCCCAGGACCGCCCTCTCAGGTAACCCCACCCCCTATTATGTTTTTGGTTTACTGTGTGTGTGTTTGAGGCAAACAGTGAGAAGGTAAATTGTCACTGATAACAAAACAGAGATTGTGAGAGAGGATATCTTAGCTAATCCAATATTGTGATACTCTCCTGCTTGATTAAGAGCTCAGCTGTGTCTGTGTTGTTGTGTGGTCTGTTTAGCTCAGCAGGTTTGTGTGGATTCAGCTTTGTTTTGTCTGGAAATGCTCTGATTACTGCTGTCTCTCCAGATTCACAATGAAATTAGGGAAGAAGTCCCACTGTGTCAAATGAGGCCAAGTCATGCCTGAGCAAAGCATCTGCACATTATGGGAAATTTTAGTCGCTGTTTTTGTATTGTTGAGTAGTGCGACGAGATCCCACAGTATTAAAACATGACGATATTTCTCGTCAAGGCAAAAGTTGTCTCACCATATCAGTACATAACAGAACCAGAGCATCAGTCAGTATGTAGGTGTGTATGATACGGCCATGTTGTGACAAGTCAACGTGAGTGGCGTCATTCACGTTTCCAGCCCCTGAGTTTCTGTTATGTTTTGGTAGATAAAAAACATCGTTTAACATCCAGTACTAATGAGAATGCGTTGCGTGTCATTATGGTGAGTTAACTGTGGCCCAAATTCGACAGTAAATAGCAGCAAATGCTCATGTTAACAAGGTAAACAAGAGAGTCTTTTTCCTACGGCCATCCACGTCCCAATCGTTCCTGGTACGTGATTGGTCAATGCAGCGCCTTTGCTGGATGATGTCACCGTTCGGAGCGGTGAGGGTGAAAATAGCACAGAAGGTCACACACGCCTTCACTTAGAAGTTAGAAGCTCAGGCATAGTTCATGCAAGTTATAAAGTTAAAGAGACTCATGAAATCCTACAGGAGAGAAGGCAGTCAGCTGAGTTTGTAGAAAAACCTTTTACAGTGTTTTCATATTATTGTTTTTACTGCATATGATAATTCATATTCAGAAAAAAGAACTGAAGTGATTAGTTAAAACATTTTAAAATACAACCACAGTGTTTTACATTTTGTGACTTTCAGTCAAACAAAAGACTATTTTTCCAGTCTTATATTTCATCATTGAAAATCTCTGGAAAATGAACCCAATATCATGTATGGTCTCGTCATGTGAGCCAAGTGTATCATCACACCCCGGTTGTTGACTGTGTCTAGTTCTCAGACCTGTGTGTGGAAGAATGGACAGATTATTTGCCTGAGCAGAAATATTCCTCTCAACTATTTGAGCAGATCAGATTTTTAAAAATCCTAGACACTACAATAGGTAAAGAACTATTTGACTTCTCATCACAGTTACATAAATAGTACTTCCAGGTCCTTCTAATCTCCAAATCCCCTCATGCAACAGAATCACACCCCATACCTCCATTCATTATAGTTTTGTTTTCAGAAGCAGTCCCAGTGCACCTCTGCAACCCTCAGGGAGCTCCTTGATCAGTACTGTAAGGCTTATCTGCCTCTCTGAAAAGACAGCAGGGCATTGTGCTTCTTATATTCCATTCTTGAGTGCCTAAATGTCACTAGGACATTAGTCAGTAGACACACTGGACACCACTCACTGTAATGGTCACAGTCCCAGCATTGCATGTCATCCTCTTATGACTGTCCATCTGCTCTGCACTGCAGGTACTGTATATTCACATGCCAGCTCTGTGCTTGGGTATCTGGGGCCCATGCCAGGCCAGAGAGATTCAGGACATGGCTTCCCTTGATCAGGAAGGAGGGCTGCTGTGGTCCATATGGCCCAGGTTTGGCAGAGGAAAAGGAAGAAGGGGAGGCAGGCTGGTACCAAGGCATGTTGGTACTATTGTAGCTTTAGCATGTTAGCCATCAGCTCTGAGCAGGCCCCCTAAGTCTGTCCGGGAGTGTTCTTCAGACCTGCTGTTATATTATTCACACACCCACTCACAGGTTATGGATTGCTGATTGTGAGCAGCAATATGTTTTCCATATTTGAAAACTTTGCACTTGAAAGACCTTTGATACATTTAAACTCTGGCGTGTTTTCTTGCAGTTGATCATCTGGAGTTGACCTCTGTCATTGATTTTAAAAATAACATCAGCTCTGAGCTACTCTATAGACTGTCTGGCAGAGCCAAACCTCAGATCTGCTGCCTTTGATTGAGAAACCAAAATCTAAAGTCCAGGTTGCCTGGCACTCGTCAGCTGCATATTATTTGAGGGTTTCATTGAAAAGACATCTCATCGCATTTTATGTTCCATTAATAAATTTGGAGCTTCAGCTCTGGCTCGGGGTTCTCGTTGTTCTTGGCTGTTTGCAGAGCATATCTGGGTTACTGGCCTTCTCCGTTAAGGGAGACGAGGTGCTCTTTATGGTCATAAACTCCCCCACAGGGATCACATGGAGGCCTTGTCTTGAGCGTAATGTTGGTTTTGCCTGGAAGGTGAGGCTGGTGTGGGGAGGGGCAGGGTTCGGGACTAACCACGATCTGCTCAACTGCTGCTAAAACCATGGTTCATGAGGATTTGAGTAGTTTTTTCCCCAGTACATTTTTTTTCTGGCATTATGAACCTAATGTGCTGATCCTGCAACAATTTCTCCTCAAGCTCCAGCACTGCAGAGCAGAGTGCAGTACAGCAGTCCAGCTCTTAGTGAAGTCACTACAGCTGCATATACACACACACAGTTTGTACCACTGCTGCACTTGTCTGCTCTTCTCTTCTGCCTCCTCCTCTGTATAACTCTTCTTCTCTATCTCATGTCCACCTCTTGTTCCCCTGCAGGCAGGCACCCTAGAGCTGCAGGCTCAGTTGGAGAGCCAGAAGAAAGGCATGGTGGATGGACGCGCCGCTTCCTTGGGCCCTCACCACCATGCCAGCCATGACCACAGAGAGGGAGGTGATGGGGCAGGAGGAAGAGCAGGAGTATCATCCTACCAGCCCTCCTACGCCACCTTGCAGCATCCCCCACCTCCTGACATGGGCATGGAAGACTGGGCCAGCAAGCACCTCAACATGCACACGCAAGGCTTGTTTCGGCGGCGCGTTTCCATCGCCAACATGCTCTCATGGAACCGAGGATCCATTAAAAAGCCCATGCTTGTTACCAGCAACCGAGCCATCAGGAAGGAGGCCTGCGAGATGTTCAAGCTGGTGCAGGCCTACATGGGAGACAGGCCTTCGCGTTTGGACCGGCGTCACTCTGCCCTACTCATCGTCACCAAGTGCTGGGACATGCCAGGTCTGCGGGACGAGCTGTACGTGCAGCTGGTGAGGCAGACCACGGGCAACGCCACCCCCAGAAGCTTGGCAGCAGGCTGGGAGCTAATGGCTGTCAGCTTGGCATTCTTTGCCCCCTCACCGAAGTTCCGCTGCTACCTGGAGGGCTACATCCAGAGACACACGGAGCCCACCAGCGACAAGAAATGTGAGTCTCAGACCGAGCAGCAGGGTGGGTTACCTTTCTTTCTTCAGCACCTCCCTGTGTTGTGTGATCATCAGCATTGTTTATGTAGGCTATAGAGATGTCTTTTTTTTTTTTTTTTTTATCAAGAGTTTCTTTCCCTTTTATTTTGCTGTAGAACTATAATTGAACTTAGTCAAAGAACAATATTGTTTTTGATGTGACCAATAATATAATTGCTGGCCTTATGTTTATCTTACAGACCATCAGAAATGTGATCTTTGCTATATTTTGTGTTGCAGTGACTCAGTTCATATTGGAACAGCAGGATCTAAAGCTGAAGAAGAACTCAAAGTCCAGAAAGAAGCGAAAACAGAACACAGAGGAGGAAGAGGGTAAATCTTGTGTCCAAAATATCACTTCAAGAACATTGTATTCTCTTTATTTCCTGTTTCCACAAGCTTATCTGTGTGACAGAGCATGAAGTAGGCAGGAGCAGGAAGTCCCAGGGATTTTCTGCTCTTTCAAAATGTAGAATGTGTGTAGAATCTCTAGGTTATGGAAGCCATTACAAATCAAACCCATCACTCCCTGTAGAGCGATCACTCAGAGTGGGATGGAAACTTCAGTGCTATGCAGTTTGTCAGATGAGTATGTGCTGATTGTTCTTTCAGACACAATGAATGGGTTTCCCAGAAAGTTGAGTTGAAAAAAATGAATGTAGAAGATTGTCAGAGGGTTCTGTAGGCGCACAGTGGGCCACACTGTGAATCATATTAGCGGTTTCTCTTGCTGCTTCCATGATAGATAGCCATTTAAGAGGACACCTAGTCATCAGCACATGCCCTCATTAGAGGGACCCACGCTGCCAGCTCTAATGATGATGTCACTAGACAGGAATACAGTGATCTCACAGACACCACAGCAGTCGCCTTGCGCATTGTACTATAGTGACTCAGACTTGGTGCTTTACGCTGAAAACATGCCAGCTGACTAAGAGGTCAGAAAGAAAGTCTGCTGAACATGTCTTCAGACACAGGAATATTGATGTCAGCCCAGACCCCAATTATCACATGTTACAGAACAGCAGAATGGAAGCTGCTGTTTGATTGATGCATGGATGAACTAGAACATTGTGTTTGACCAGAGCCACAGGCCGCTATGAACAGCAGAAGTGGGAGGTTCTTGCGAGAAGCAGAGGCCTGCTGTCAGGCCAGACCTGGCCTGTGCTTGGAAACTGACTTCTCTGGGCGCAGGGCTTGGGGCATAGTGGTCTCAGCCAGCACTTGTATGAATGACACGTAAACAATAACCAAAAGCAGACCTCAGCATCCTTACATGGCTCTGCTTTTTTTGTTGTTGTTAAGTTTAGCTGCAGCCAGAGTGTAGACAGGTGTTATGCTGTTCTCAGCTTGGTACAGCACACTCAAGCTCCTAATGAGCTTGTACAGTATTTCTCATGGGCTTTGGTTGCTTGGTTGTTTTCATGCCATCAAACCTGATGTAAATATAGACCACCAGTAGTGTTCAAACCTTTTTTCTAACTGCAGCAAGGGGCTCTGCACTTTTACTTTTCTCAGAGCAAGTGTACAGCCTCTGTGTCAGGAGCCGTGAGGAAAAAGAAGTCCATCTTTGCCAGGATCAGGGGCAAATTATTGGTATAATCTCTCTAATTAGACATAATTATAGTCAAACTCAGATTAGCAGCACTTGTGAGCATGCATAGAAGTCACATGTTTGCTATCAGTGTGGGGGCTTTGATTGTAGGGAACATGCTGGAAAATGGTTGTTACTTTTTAAAATCCCATCAGTAAGTTTGTCAATCTGGCCCGAGTTCAGAGGGGATTCTGGGCCCAGGAATAGACCCCATGAAAATATTTGGGATGAAACCTGTTACCACAGAAATGACAGATGGTGATACCGTGCATGAGCACATACAATGACCTAACAAATCAAGGATTTTCTGTGGGCTTTTAGTCTGAGATGTAGAGAATTTCTAGAGACTTCTAGCAGGTCAGATCAGGTTCATCTGCTGCTTGTGTCTCTTGAAGTACAGCCCACCTCAGAAAATTGTGTTGCTCCTCTAATAAAGTTAACCCTGAACCTGATCTGGGGCCTGCAGTAGCAGGGCAGGTAGCAGACAGGGCACCTCTGTGTTTCTCATTCTCTCCGGAGGCCTTCATGTCTGTGTACACTGATGAATCACCTGAATGCTGGATGTGTAGGCCGGATCCTGTCTCAGGCTTTTGTTCAACAGCAGTAAATCTTCCCTCATTCTGACAGTATAGCCAGCCCTGCTCTAATCCCCCTATGCCAGAATCACACTGTCAACATGCCTCTCCAGTTACCACTGCCTGCCCCTCATACTTTGATATCTGTGGGAAAAAAACACAGCTAGTGGTGTTTGTGGGAAAGAATTTAAGTCATTTATTATTCCTCGTGTTCAGTAATGCCCGCTGTTTAAGGGTTTTGCTTGGAGTCTTTGAGGACACAGCTAGGTTGTGCATATAGTTTCTTCCAGAGTTAAGTTTCATTATTCCTTAGCCGTGAATTAACCTCTTCTGTCGCCCTACAGGCCTGCCTGTCAGCACATATGCCAAGTTCTGCCATCGGAAACTGCAGAAGGTGGCGATCACCGGAGGCAAAAAGGTAAGACAGAGCAATAAAAAGAACAGTTATGCTGGAGTTAGTGCATTTACATGCTATGAAAATATTTCACCACATGGTAATTAGAGGACATTTGAGTTTGAAAGTTGTGATTCGCACCTGAGATTACAGTCACAGTTAGAGATGTAAACACAGATCCAGTCATAGTAGCACAGCTACAAACACAGCCATGATTGGTCTAATCGTCCCTGAGTTTCCCAGGTAGTAAATCTTCCCCTTTCTTCACCTCTCACCTCTCCAGGGGCTACGTAAACCCACCTTGGAGGAGATTGACCACAGCAGGCGGGCCATCGTCACCCCCTCCCTGTTTGGCAGTTCTCTGGAGGAGGTGATGGAGAGGCAGAACGAGCTCTTCCCAGACAGGAAACTGCCATGGGTGCAGGTTCAGCTTTCCCAGTATGTTCTGGCCCTGGGCGGGGCTCAGACAGAGGGCATCTTTAGGTAAGACAGACCTGACTCAGCCAATTACATGTCTCCACCTGAGCAGAGTGAGAGAGCTGGAGTTTAGGAAATTAGAGGGGGATATTATGTGCTGCATGTGTGTGTGTTTTATTGTATGAATAGTGTTTATAAACAAGTGTGTGTGGTCTCTGTATCTCCTTATTTTAGAGTGTGCTCTCCCTGTGTACAGTATACAGAACAGACAGCAGAACAAACACAGCTCTGCCTTGCTCCAGCACTACTTAATTTGATACGTCATAATATGTATTTACATTAGTGCTGAAGCTTATAAGCACGTGGGAGCCTCGCAACTGTGTGTTTGTGTAAGGTTTATTCCTGCAAATGTAATTATCTTAACATCTTGACTTGTTTGGAAAACCATTCCTTTTTTGTGAAATGTACTATATACAGATCTCCCTGGGAAATTCCTCGACACAGGGACTTTCCTGAACAGCATGTAGTTTGGTTACATTATGTTTATTCTGTTTTTGTTTTCTTCCAAAAGAGGTAGGTACTGCTAACAAAGAACAGTGTACTTTCAGCCATCAGGCCACATTTGAAGCCAATTGGGTGTGCATATGTAATGACTTGGCCACAGGGAGAATATGTAGTCATAGAGGTAGAGGTCCCTCTTGTGGCCGCTCTTGTAACACTGATTGTGTTTTATCCTCAGAGTGCCTGGAGACATTGATGAAGTGAATGCACTGAAGCTCCAAGTAGACCAGTGGAGGATCCCAGAGAATCTCTCAGACCCCAATGTTCCTGGTGAGAAGCATTTCAGAGCATCAGGCTTCACACAGATGCATGGGTTGCATGCATACAGTACACATGGGGGTTGAATATACATGATAAAGAGTGTGTCCCTTTTGTTCAGCCTCTCTGATGAAGCTGTGGTATCGGGAGCTGGAGGAACCTCTCATCCCCATGAACTTCTACCAGCAGTGTGTCAGTAACTGTGACGACCCGGTGGCGGCCATAACTGTGGTGCAGTCTCTGCCTGAGCTCGACAGGCTGGTGCTCTGCTACTTAATCCACTTCCTGCAGGTAATAAAGACATCAGTATGGATTTTGAATCCCCTGAAACACACAGCCCTTACCCCGATTTACCCTACTAATACCATTATGACCACATCCGCATATTTTCTCCACTGTGCTTTTATTGTCTTGCATGTTTCCATCTTTTGATTTTTAATGAAGAAGCACCATGTTACCTTTGTTACAGAGGCACACACCTATTGCAGTTATTGCATTTCAGCCATTTGAAAAAATACTTTGAACATTAAAGAATATATAATACATTATATGCTGCAGATCAGAAACACAACTCGGTGACGAATCATTTTAGATTTAATCTTTTTTGTTCATTTCCCATGTGGTGTTTTAAAATCATTTGGTTCTGGCTGTTTTTACTGACTGTTATTAAAAAATGAGTGTAAACCATTTTTAAGATTTTGTGGATTTATTTTTGTTATTTTCATGCATTCATGAAATGCCTGCTGTAAACATAACTCCTGGTGTCTTTTAATATATTTGTCCCTGTCTGTGCGCTCAGCCTTGCTCATTACTTTTCCTCTTCTTGAATCCTGATTATCTCTAGGTGTTCGCTCAGCCGTCCAATGTGGCTGTAACCAAGATGGATGTGAACAACCTGGCCATGGTGATGGCCCCAAACTGCCTCCGATGCCAATCCGACGATCCACGGATCATCTTTGAGAACACGCGCAAGGAGATGTCCTTCCTGAGAATGCTCATTGTTCACCTGGATACCAGTTTCATTGAAGGGGTTGTGTAGTCGCTGTAAACTACAAAGCCCACCTTATGTGCTGGATCATCACTCCAGCATCTCCACATTTACAATCATGCATAAACACTGTCTGTGTTCACACCACACTGGAACCTCTGGGGTTGGAATTTTACACCTTGTACAAAACAAGGAGTGTGACAACAGCTTAGACTTTGAGCCATTGTGCTCTCCTGCTTTCTTAAAGAGAGACAGTACACATCAGCTCTCCTAGGTTTCACTGTGCTTTTTGATACAAAAAACCACAGTGATGGCTTTAATGTGGTTCACTTTGACTGTGTTTGTAACCACTCCATGTGAAAACAGATTTACTCTTTCCTACTGAATGAGTCTGAGTCTTACAGTATTTACTTCAATTGCACAAACAACTAGAGAAAGCAGTGTTGCTCCTCTCCTGGTTTTTTTTTTGTTTGTTTTTTTATTTGGCGCTCTGGTTTCATTCAAGTGTGTTTGTGTGCTTGTCAGTGTGAACGAAAGATGCAGCTTTCTAATATCTTGTACAGAAATTGAAAATATGAAAAGTCAAAGAACTCTTGTAATTGTGTCTCATCAGTAAGCTTGCCTGTGCTGTTTTGAGTAGTTGTTATGATCGACGGTGTCATCCTATTTCATTTGACATGACACAAGAAGCCCCACCACCACGACTGTTTTAGTCTACAGAGCCTTCATTTCAAAGCGCAGACTGGAAGGACGTGAGGGAAGCTCTTTCTAATGGATGGTGGTGATTTTCTAAGCAAATAAACTTGTGGTAATTACAGTTTGTCATGGAGACGTGGGAGGCTTGTTATTCAGCTCAGCTATTTTGCTATAAAAAGTTTTTCAGTTGGAATTGTGTTCTCTTTTGTTTGTGCTCTATATGGGTTTTTGGCTCAGGTCTTATGATAAAACGGGTGTCAAACGTGATAACTGTGCATGGCCTCCCTTGCAGGGATGAAAATTTAATTAATCTACAACAAACCCATGTGCTGAGAATGGACCATTGTCAACCGTCAAGCACTGTGGGGGTGTAGATTAAGCATTTGTGCCCCCTCTCAGGCTTGGCCAATGTAAATAGGTTATACATGTAAATAGTAATAACTCTGCTTAAGTGTATTCTAATGATCCAGGTTAAGGGTGAAGATAACTGTTGCTATAAAGAGCAATAAAAGGTGTTTTTGTAATTAACTGTTTATTTCTCTGCTGTAACTGCCTGTTGAACCTAGGACTGATTTAAACCACTATCCATACGTGTATTTGTGTTTACATACCGTATATAATATGGAATTACTGTCCATAATAAAGGTTTGTGGAATTGTAAATTGGATGCCCACATTTCTTTGCCTTTATTATAACAGTAGATTCAGAGAGGAGACAGGAAATGAGATGAGGGACAACCTGCATCAGGCACCAAACATGATACTGCAAGCACATGGTCAGTGTCTTAAAACTGGTCACTGGGGTACATTTAATTTGCTTCTAGTAAAGAATTCAATCTGAACGACTATTTTATAATTAGCTGGTATGGCTTATAACTTGAAAAAATGCACACACTTTATGCATTCACTGAATAATATAATGTTAATGTAAGGGGTAAAAAAAAACCTTAAAATGCTCCAATAACGCTTGAATTGTATCCTTAATTGAAAAATTAAGGTGGTTTTATTTAATAATACAGAATCCATTAATTATACAGTATCTCAGTAAAAATACATTGACATTGAATTTTTAATATAAAATGATTGATTTTAAAAAGGTTTTGTCTGACCTGTATTTTGCATAATATTTTATTGTTTTGATTTAGTAATTCAGACTCAGTAACCTCTGAAATCAGAAGCACCTGCCTTTTGCATTCTTCACTCTACGAGAATTTATCAGAAAGGCCTTTTAAAAGGTGTGTCACACAGTTAGAAGCACAATGTAAAACTTTTGTACAACCAAAAGAGGTATCTGCTTTAGACACACAACATTCAAAAGGCTTTTTAGTCTATATTCACAGACTTATGAAAGTCTTATGACTTTGTATCAGCCTTGACAGGTGAAAGGGTGGTTAAACAGAAACAGGCTGATCCACCTATTATCCCAGCACATCACTGTTAGTCATCCAGTCTGTACATATTCATCTGTTTGTTCTTTTTATGCATATCATGGCACAAACCTGCCACCTGTTTCATCTTCATTCTGCAGCAACCTGATCACTGCTGGTGACAAGCTGCTCAGGCACTGTCACCATGCCAGCAGGGTGTGCCCACCTTTGGGAGTTAAGTTAAAGAAAACATACATTACACTGGAGGAAGGAAACCCACAGGACAATGTCTTGCAAAATGTACTGTACATTTTGTGACAGAAGGGATGGAGACAGCAGTGCTTATTTTCAAACCAACCTAACTGCAAATACATGCAGCCATTTATTCAGAAAGCAGCTGTGCTTTCAAACCCAAAGTTTTCTCTAAAAGACATCAGTAATTTAATAAAAACTCACAGGGTGTCTACATGCTGTGCTTCGTTGTCTTTATGTTGTTATTACACGTTTTGCTTAATTAACTGGGAGAGCTGCCCTTTTAATACAGTTTTACTGTGATAGTTGTATCATAAATCATCACTACTTCGTTTGATCAGTGATAAAATATATACTACTTTTTAAGATACCAGTTCTTTGCTTGTGTATTCTCATGTTGTGCTACGTTCAGACTTAAATGTATCCTACATTTTAAACTACAATAGTTGGACTTTTCCCAGTTAAATCCTACTTATGTTAACAGTTTAACATGCCACTGGTATGGGCTAGGATATAAAATATCAGCCTTAAATGGTGGATAAACTGAAATCCATAACTAGTAGCCTGCATTGTGTTTGGCTTGGTTACCCTCCACTATGTTTTGTAAACAAACAGTTTTCTGGATGAAAGGTTGGTGGCGCTGTAGGCCCACGCAGTAGATAGGTGTGAACTCCTTACAGTCCTTGCTCCGGGGTTTCTCTGACCTGTTGGGTATAAATTATACATTCATTATCTAAATATATTCCCATGACTGGCTTCCATTTGATTAGCAGAACACATTATTTTGACAGATATTGCGTCCAGTTAAAGATTTGGCTTATTAATTGAGGTTCATTAATTTAAAGTTACTTCGTATCACAAATTTGACCTGGTATAATCCTTTATGAAAGCATAAATATTAAAGTTTTAAAAGCAGCACACTTCCATTTTCGAAGACATAAAAGCCTTATCAGAAAACATGTTGGGCGCCGTTGTATGCGCGTGCGCAGTGTAGCGCCACACTGCCCGCGCCACTGGTGAATGCAAAGGAGAGAAATACAACTGCGTGTCTGGAGTGGACAGGCGGATGCGGCGGTATCTGTACTCTAAAGGGATTATAGTGTATATTTTATACCAGACCGGACAAAGAGTGACCGGAGAACAGGTAGGAAGCTCAAATCGTATCTTCCCTTTGCATTTCAGAATTTAAAATCCACAATAGCATCGTGAATGAGGCCGTGTGGTGGATGCATCAACAGCATAACGTTGTAAGGTATGATGCCGCATGTCGGCTTTTTGAGTTCAAAACAAACGTGACGAAGTTGGTAATAAAATGCTATAGTTGTACTTTACATCGTTCTCTTTGGTTAATTTCGGGTGTATTTATTGGTCATTGTATGCTTTTTTCTAGGAATGTTTAAATGGCTCTGTAGTTTTTCATACGGATAAGTTTAACGCTTAGCTTTTCCACGCCGCTCTTTCACAGCAGGAAAAGTATGAAAAAGTAGGCCTAGCGCGAGGCCCGAGACGTTCTGTGAGTGACAGCTGCACGGCCAATCACACGCGAGCGTCCCGCCCACAGCAGATAGTTTCGATAAATCGTATTTGTCTAAAGCTCGACGTAGGTCATGGTGCGACGTCCACTGATTATAAAAGACCGGACAATAAAGTGTCAGTAGTGGTAGAGTTGGACAGAAATAGGGTTCTTGGTAATATGTGAGGCAGTGTGTTCTCGGTGAATTTTCTGTTGGAAATCAATTGAGTCGCGTGAATCGTGTTGGCTCTATGTTCGAAAACCTTACAGGGTGTGTGGAGGTGTCCTGTTTTCTCCCCTTATTACAGTGAAGCCTTGAGAGGAATTTGATGGTTGCGAAACATGTTTCGGATAACCTCACTTCTTCACGGATCATGATCTTTTTCCTGACTCATGATTGTGGCATCACCAACTCCCGGATGCACCCTGGCTGGGTCGCTGTCGGATGTCTGGCTCCGTTTGCAGACCATACAAATACTGTCTCATTTAAATCTCGCCTTTTACCGGATCGGATATTGCATCCTGTTTGATATCGTGCTTGGTGTCAGCCTGTAACGGACTGCCGAGTATTTGCTATTGTCTTCTATTGTGTCTGTGAAACGGACTGCCCGAAAAACACGTGGTCTCAGTAGTATGAAGATATCCGGTTCCTAGGTTGCCCTGAAAGCCTCCAGACCGCCTCCGCTATGGTGAAGCGAGTAACCCCGGATAAAAGTAAGGCACTGTGATCATATAGAATGTGATATTAGCTTTTAATAAAATGGGTCGCCAATATGTCAGCCTGTCCTTGGTATTCTGAATGTCTGGCAAAAGAGGCGCAGATATTGGGAGGGTGTTGATATTTTTCTATGAAAGACGTGATCCCCCTCCACCAAGCCGTTTATCATAGCTGAAGGGCTGAGCATTACCGGTAAACTACGGACCTGCATTTGAGGATGAGGCTGCATAGACAATTACCCAATTTAAGGAGAATACTATGTTAAATCAGTGGAGCATTAGCTTGGTGCATAACTGTGTCCCTGCTGTACTCCGTGGGTGCTTACAGTGGGAAGTGAAAGCTATGAGTCTTAGCTATTGTTGTACCTTTTATCGTGGTTCCTTCCTGATAAGGAATGGAACAAAAACAATAAAATTTGACATTACTGCTGCCTTAACTAGTGATCACTGAACATCCGGTATTAGTTGCACATTCCTCTTCCATTTGAGGCACATGGCTCACCTTTTCCCTTGCTGTACACAGTGTTGCACCATGTTTAAACAGGTGTAATCTGTAGCTTGTGTAGGTTTCTTGACTCCATTGTTGTTCTAATGGCACACAGTGGGAGTGAGTGACTTAATTTGCGGTTTTAAAATTTTGATACTGGGGTGCAAAGGTGCCACAGTCCCATGGAAATGCAGTGGTTGATGTTGTTGATGACATGCAAGAAACAAGGCTGACTGCCAGTTTCTCTATAAAATCTTAGTCATGTGTGTTGTGTTCTTTGTTAGACAGATTGTTTTTCTTTGTGTATCCAAGATAAAATGGGTGTAGCTGTAATTGGTATGTTTACTAGTTAATGTGTGTGTGTGTACAGAAAGGGTGCCTTGATGTGGGCAGTATGAGTAAGACGCCCCCTAACAGAAGAGGGATTACATTTGAGGTGGGAGCTCAGCTTGAGGCCAGAGACAGCCTCAAAAACTGGTGAGTCATGGCCTCACTCATTCCTCTCCATCCTGTTACTGTTCACTTTCCTCATTATTTCCTTTTTGGTACTGGGTTAGCCTATTATTAAAAAACATGAAACGATAAAGAAAAATGTGACAAAACCTATTTAAAACTTATATTGCATCACTGCTCTTTTGCCAGTAAACAGCAGCTGGTGAAAATGTTTGTACTCAAGAATCCATAAAACCAGCCTTTGGTCTGGATTAATGATGGACAGACCTTAAAATCATATCATAAATCATTTTGATGGTTACACTATATCACAATAAAAATGAAAATAATCATTGTTAAACAAGTAAAGATGTTCAGTTTTTAAAACCACATTGACCTCAAGCACAGCAATGTGATTATCCATTTTGAATTGACTAGTATAACTTTAATAACATTTTGTATAACGTGAGAGAATCACTGCAGACCCCTCACACCCTGGACACAATCTGTTTGAACTGCTCCCCTCTGGATGGTGTTACAGGTTACTGTGCACTATGACAACCAGGCACAAGGACAGTTTCTTGCCCCAGGCTGTCACTCTGATGAACACTTGACCCATGATAGTATGACTGGACAATAACCCTCAGCAAAATACCTGCAAATGTACATTGTACAGACTATTCAGATCCATACAGGTCTCTATTTTTAAGTACTCTATTTTTATTCCTACTTATCCCATTTCACAATGAGCATTCCTTGTCTGTCTGCATTGTTTACTGCCTGTTTATACTGCTTATTTTGCATTGTTTGCACTGTTTGTTGCTTGTAAATACTGCTTATTTTGTTATATTACACAGCCTTATGCTGGTTTACTTGTCACTTGCATGGTGATATGTACATGCACATTGAGAGCCGATGTACCAGAGTCAAATTCCTCGTGTGTACCGATCACCTGGCCAGTAAAGCAGATTCTGATTCTGATTTCTGTACCAGTCACTCTACAGTATCAGTTATGAATTGCATTGCTCATCGCATTACCTCCCTTCACCCAGGCATTTTTACCTACACACATACAGAAATACCACTGATATTTGTCGTCCTATGCAGCTTCTTGCAAGGACAATTGTTACTGGAGGTTGTAATTTGAATTGTAATTTTGTGTTTCTGTATGTTTATATGTTTATTGAATATTTTTTTGTCTTGTAGGTATGCTGCGAACATAGAGAAGATTGACTACGAGGATGAAAAAGTACTAATTCACTACCGCCAGTGGAGCCACCGCTACGACGAGTGGTTTGACTGGACA